GCCGCTTCCTCACCAACCCGTAGCGTTTCTGTGGCCGAGTCCATTCATCGGTGACCTGAGTGGAATTATTCCTGGTTTCGGTAGGTAGCGCCTGTCCTCTTTTCAAACACAGAACTCTGCCATCTGTGACCTTGGAGCGGGATTCCGTTCTTAGAATGACCTGGGAGAGAAAGCCAGGACTTTTGCTGCTTTAATAAGGTTGGGGGTGGTTGGGGGTAGGGGAGCAGGGGAGGACGCTCCCCTTAGTCAAGGCAGCCCACTGGTGTGCAGGTGTGACTGAGGGACCCAGGATCCGGGACCCTCCTGATCTGCTCAAGGGGGACCTGGGTCTTTTGTTCTTTTCGGCTGATCCACTTTCAGGAGGGAGATCTGCCCTTTCAGGTGAGTTTTGGGAGGTGACAGGAAAGGACGGTCAGGTCTCTGGAGGAATACCACTGTGGACCATTAGTCATTCTTTCCTGCCAAGCAGGCCCTTCTCCTGGCAACGCAGATCCCCCACTCTCAAGGTGACCCGGGTGACTGGATACTTTCCTCCCACCAAGACAGTTTGACCCGAGGGCACTGGGACCTGGTGGGGGCTGAGGTTCCAGTTTTAACCATCTCAGTCCTAATTGGGAGACTCTGCTGGATGAGCCTTGGCTGCCCGCTTTGGCAGCCCCAGTTTCTGGCAGGAATCGGGAAGGGCTGGGCTGGCCGTGGCCTGCCTCTGCCCCCCACCCCTGCCTGTGATCTGGGGGTTTCTCTGAGCCTTTGGCTTTCCTTTTTTTTTTTTTTTTTTTAAGATTTTTATTTATTTATTTGACAGAGAGAGAGACAGCGAGAGAAGGAACACAAGCAGGGGGAGTGGGAGAGGGAGAGGCAGGCTTCCTGCCGAGCAGGGAGCCCGATGTGGGGCTCGATCCCAGGACCCTGGGATCATGACCTGAGCCGAAGGCAGACGCTTAACGACTGAGCCACCCAGGCGCCCCAGCCTTTGGCTTTCTTATCTGCAAAGTAGGCATAGCCATAGTGCTTGCCAAGATGGGGTATGTGAACCTGAAATAAAGGCTCTTTGATCTTGTGATCTGCACTGGGAAGTTTCCTGCAGGTGGGTCTTAGTCCTCAGACCCACCCCGCCTCCCCTAGAGTGTCACCTCCCTAGTGGATTGCTCAGAATGACTTTGAGTTGAATCCTTAACAACACCTGCAGCATTTCCAGAGGATATTGCTTCCCCCCCAAGGCCGGTGGGGAAATAGGGGACACAGTTCCCAGTTCCCAGTGCTGAGGCTCTGGGGAGGTGTCATTTGCATACAGTGAAACTCAGAGACCTTTGTGTCCAGTTGGAAGGTCTAACGTGCAAGCTCCTGGCTAGCCAGGCTCCAACTGAGATGGGGAATACTTCCATCGCCCCCGAAAATTCCCTGTGCTCCTCCCGGCCAGTGCCCCGCCTTACTTCCCATCCAGGTACCTACGCCTTCTTAGGAATGCCCTGAACCGTCCCCAGGCCTGGGTTTCCAGCCGCGACCCTCTGGCCATCACCTGCACCCTTTCTCACACTATACCCCCTTTCCTCCGGCTTGGTCCCGCCAGTGTAGGGTCAGCCTGTGAGATAGGAGGCATAACATTGAGGGCACGCCGGTTTCACCTGGGATTTGGGATTTCCTATCCTCGGGAAGGTGTGTATCCCCTGAGGCAAAAGTGATGGAGACCTGGGGATCCTGAGACAGGGCAGGCCGTGTGGGCATGGAGGGGGGCCTTGAGAATCAGGCCCACAGATAACTCTGTTTGCCTATGGGTAAGATGAGGATGCTGATGACCATGGGAGGATAGGGTCGGTGGGAGGCTCTTGAGTGTGTGTGGGGGGAGTATTCCATGTTCCAGGCGTACTGGCCCTGTGCTCCACTATCTGATGATCCAGAGGGCAAGGCTGGGTCTCAGAGGGCCTTTTGTGGGCAGCTTCTGGTGGACGGTTGGTGAGGATGCCTGGTTTGTGGAGTTGCTGAAGGGGGCAGGGAGGATCTGGAGGGGATGATGGGTAGTGGAATTCGGGGGGGGTCAGGGCTTCAGGACTGCTAGTACCCCCCTGGTGCTCCACCCCCTCTCCTTCCACGCAGCTTTACACCCTAGGGACTGACCTGCCTTGAAGAGATCCCAGCCCCGGGGTTTCTAAGAACCTGCGAGAGCCCTGTCCCGTCCCCAGTCTGGCCGTCCTACCTCCCGTCAGCGCTTGTGAACACTACTTGATTTCTCAGCCTAAAAGGTGCCATAAAAATATTGATGAAGTACAGCGCCTGGGCAGCTAGTGAATCTGTTGCCTCAGAAGCGGAGGGATCTGCTGGCCACTCACTGCTGGCCGCCCACCTGCAGAATCTCCACGGCGGCCGCTTGGGCAATTTCCTGCCTCCAGTTTGAAGCCAGAAGGGAGGGGATCAGAGTCCCAGCAGCACGGCTGGCTGAGCTGGAGGGCCCTTCAGAGGTGTACCTTTAGCCTCTGCTTTTTACTGATGATGAAACAAGGGCCACTGTCCACTCAGCAAACATTTACTCTTTGTGCCAGGTGGAAGACGCAAAGATGGAGGGAAAAAATGGCCCCTAGCCTGGAGGGATGAGTATGAGACAGGGACAGAGAACCAAATAATCGTAATAGGGTGTGCACTAAGGACACAAAAGAGAGTGCCGTGGGTGATGGTAGAGGAGATGCTCCCACTGGGTCTTGAGGGGGTGAATAGGAGTTTGTCTGGAGGTGTCAGAGGGATAGAGAGTATTTCAGACATGGGCAGAGCCATCGTAGCAGGGTCTAGAGCATGTTTGGTGTGAGTGGTAGGGTGGGGCAGGAAGGATGGCCGGTAAGGTGGGTACAGGTGAGTTCATCGCCTGTCAGTGAGTGCTGGGGTGGGTGGGCCCTGGGCCGGCGGGGAGGCTGGGGTTCCAGAGTGTGGCAGGAAGTGAGGCATGGGAGGCTGGCTGGGGCTAGAGCGCCTGGGCAGTGGGAACAAAGGGGTCAACAGACAGATTGGACTCCTGGATGAGAAGGCTGAAGGGTCAATGGCAGGCAAGCTTTGACTGGGTGTTGAGGGTTGAGATGGGGACTGGGGAGCAGGGGCAGTGAGGCAGGCACCACTCTGGAAGTGGCCGAGCAGGACCAGAGCAGCAGTCTGGTGGCTCCCCAAGTCGGCTCTCCTTGCACCCCTCCCGGGGGCTCCTGTTGCAACAGTCAGCCCCATTGCAGCCTCTCAATGGGGCCTTGCAATCGGGTGCTTAATAAACGTTTCTTTTCAAACAGAAGATAGAACGTCCTTTGGTTCAGTCCCAGGCTCTCGAGGCTTTGGGGCTGAGGTGTGTGCTCGTCTCCCTCCAGGGTGGACAGCCTGTTTTGAAGCCTGTTCCAGCTGTTTGGTCCTTTGTGAGTGGCCTCACTTCTCTGGGTGTGTTCTCCAGGGCAACTTGGAATTTCCTGTCACAGCCCCAGGCTTTGTGAGGTGCCCGTCCCGAGAGCTGCCGAGCCTCCACTGCTCTGCCTGATGCACGGGGGACCTGGGGGGGTGGTATCTGACCTGGGACCTGAAGACGAGGAGGCTGGAAGGCAGGGTGTGGGGTTGCCTGCCTGGTGGGTGTTGGCAGCGCCCACTGGGTGCCCAGAGGCTGCGGTCAGCGTGGGGCAAAGCTGTGCTTTCAGTGTCACTTTTCCCTGTTTGCTGAGTGGTTGGCCCCCTTTGTCATTTGTTTATTAATAATGCACTCGGGGTGCTCATGTGGCCATTCTGTCCCTCAGCCATTTCATCCACATGTTCACGTAGCAGTGCCTTTGTTGGCTCCTTCGTTCTTAGCTCTGCCCTTGGCCCCTCAGCGGTGAAGGTTGCCCTTGACCGGGACAGGAGGCCCACACATGCAAAGGACACGCCGGGCCACATCTTGCGGGCTCCGTGACTTTCCAGAGTCTTCCCACCATCTCTACAAGCAGGATGTCTCAGTGCTGCCCCTGGGGGACATTGGGGCCATGTGTGGAGACATTTTTGGTGCCACTGGCCCCGAGTGGGTGGCGGCCAGGGGTGCAGGGGACAGTGCCGCCACAGGGAGCGCTCCGGCGCCAAGTGTGGACCGTGGAGGGCAGGAAACCGTGCTGTCGATGCGGCAAGGAGCATGAATCCGGCAGGTTGCTAGCCAGTCTCTTTTTTAAATACACACAGAAAGAACATTTAGTACAATGTGGCTATGTGTTATTTTCTAAAAATGTATATATGTGTATATGCTGCGGGAAGTCTGCCGCTTGCTCTGTTCGTGTGACATTTTTTTTTAAAGACTATCACAAGTTGACACATATGGCTAGTTTGTTTAAATTCTGTAGCTTAGCTGCTTTAGGAATGGGCCCCCTTAGCCATTCTTCCATGCCTCTTTTTCTTTGCCAGCACAGGAGCTTTGCACACTCAGGTGAGTTTCTCTGGGACAGGCGCTTGGGAGTGAAATTGCTGACAAGTAGGAGCACGCCTTTCAGTTCACACCCTCCGCAGCCCTCAAGCCTGCGTTGGCGAGGGGAGCCACAGCACTGCTGTTTTAGTTTGCATTTACCTGATTACTAGTGAGGTTGAGCGTGTCTCCCCACGAATGCCAGCCCCTTGGGTTTGCTCTGGGGCCTCCGGAGCCCTCTGCGTGCATGGTCCCAGTCACAGCACCTGGTGACCCAGACCTTGGTCCCGGTGGGGTCACTTCCCCGTCAGGGTGCTGGCCGCTCGTGACTTCCTCACCCAGCGTCCCCGCACGCTGTTCCCCTGCCACTAGCCCGGCCATTCTCGGACAGGGCACGACGTGGCTGATTGCGTTTCGGCTTTTTATCTTCAGTTTTATGGTTACACTGTAGTAACCTTTGCTGGACTTGCTTGTGCCCGAGCCTCCCGGCATGTTCCCAGAGGGAAACTTTGTTTCTGAGTTCTGGGGGCTTGGCACTCCATGTCCCCACGGCTTGCAGGGGGGCCGTCAGGGGGACTGGGCGTGTCTCCCGCTGACGCTGGCTCTGTCCCTGCAGGCAGACCTCTGCGTTATGACCCGGCTGCTGGGCTACGTGGACCCCTCGGATCCCTGCTTCGTGGCTGCCATCCTCACCATCGCTTTCAATCCGCTCTTCTGGAATGTGGTAAGTGCCCTAGCATGACCCTGTCTGGGTTGGACGGACAGACGGATGGCTCTTCCCTCCCCGTGTCAATCTCTGGCCAGTGTGGAATCGTCCTTACTGTTTCCCCTGCGAGGTCAGAGCCCAGTTAGGGGATGCTGGCCAGGGAAGCCCCTCATTCTGGGGATCCCACCACATGCTGGCCGCGACAGTCCTGGACTGCAGGGCTGTCCTGTGATGTGGCTGCGAACGTGCGCCCGAAGGTCTCAGTCTCCTAGAGGTAGAAGTAGATGGCCTCGGCTTAGGGGCCCCTTCCCTTCTGTGCCACGTTGCACAGTCCGGCGGCGGCTTCCTTGTGAACCCCCGCCCCCTGCCATGTGCTCTAGAAACATGGTGAGTTTTTCCTGAACGAGGCTCCCAGCGAAGCGGTTTGCACAGGGCTGGGCAAGTGTGCCGGGGAGCAAGAACGAGCTAGCAGGAAGGGAACACAGGAGCAGGCAGAACAGCACCCAGCTTTTCTGTGGGTATGGGGTTACTCAGGACCAAGAGCTGGGGGGGGGGGCAGGCTGTGTGGGAAGGGGGCCCTGAGCCCTGTGGGGAAGGTGTGGGAATGGCCGACGGGCCCTCCTACTACCCTGTCTCTCTGGGACCCCAGGATGTGGGGGGAGCTCTTGGGGTTTCTGCAGGGAGGGAAGGGAGTGGCAGTGGTGTCCCCAGGGCTGCTTCCCGAGGCTCCTGCCCTGTGCCTGTGCTTGGGTTTGCTGATGCAGAGCCGCGGGCGTCCTGTGATCACCCTTGAGGGTAGCCTGAGGAAGGCCAACCTCAGCTTTAGCAACACACACTGTTCCAGACTGTTTTCATTTCAGGTGACCACTTGGTCCCAGGGGCGGAACACGACATGTTCTTCCTCTGGTTTATGAGTTAAGAGTCTTTTCTCTATCTGGGGAGATTGGTGGTGGGTGGGCGTGGGGGTGGGGGTGGGCCTGCACATCTCAAAGAGGCCGCATTCCGAATGTGCCACCGCTCCTGTCCTGAACACGCAGGACCCACCCCGAGATGGTTGGTACCCGCCTCCGGCTGGAGGGGACCAGAAGAGAGGGAGGAGCTCTGAGGGCTTCTTTGTCTAAAACCCTTCTTGAGGGCGCCTGGGTGGCTCAGTTGGCTAAGCGACTGCCTCGGCTCAGGTCATGATCCCGGAGTCCCGGGATCGAGTCCCGCATCGGGCTCCCTGCTCGGCGGGGAGTCTGCTTCTCCCTCTGACCCTGCCCCCTCTCATGTGCGCTCTCTCTCAAATAAATAAAATCTTAAATAAATAAATAAATAAATAAAACCCTTCTTGAGGCCTCCTGGGACCCCCCGCCTTAGTCCACACAGGAACCCCAACAACCCCCACCCCCCTGTCTGACCTGCCCCTGACCTGGCAGAAGCCTCCCAGCAAGAGCTGGTGTCCCGCAGGGCCTGCGCCTCCCTGTCCCTTTCTACTTTCTACCCATTCCTTCTCCCCCATCCCCGCTCCCCAGCCCCCACCCTTGCTCCTGCGGCCTGAGACCACGGGGCGGGGGGGGGGGTAAAACGGGTATGTGGCAGGCGGGAAAATTTGCCCCCATGGAACCTGGGACAGCAAAAAAGGGGAGCTTTGCAGGTGTTAAGGTTCTCAGGATGGGGAGATTGTCCTGGATTATTGGGGTGGGCCCTCAGCGCAGTCACGTGTCCTCATAAGAGGGAGGCAGAGGGACATGAGAAGACACTGGCTTGGAAGGCTGGGATGATGCGGCCGCCGGCCAAGGAAGGCCGGGGTCACCAGAAGCTGGAAGAGGTGAGGGACGGATTCTCCCCTAGCGCCTGGGGGTGGGGGGGGAGGGGGGAAGCGCGGCCCTGCCGGCACCTTGATTTGGCCTGGAGACACTGATTTTGGGCTTCAGGCCATTAGAACTGGGGGAGCAGAAATTCCGTTGTTCTAAACCACCTAGTCTGTGGAAATTGGCTACAGCAGCCACAGGAACCGGGTGCAGGGTCTCCGAGAGGCTGTTAATCCATGCTGGAAGGGCTGGCCGTCTGCTGGGAGTGTGCAGTGCTCCCCGCCGTCCACGGTCCATGCCCTGTGGGCCTGGCTGGTCTCCCAGCGCTGGGGGCTCGGCTTGCCGAGTGCACGGCGGGTCCCGGGGACACTTCTTCGTGCACAAGCCCCTTCTGTTATTTCCTGCAGGCCCTTCCAATGGTGTGTCCAAGTTCATTTTGTTTGTTTTAAGGTTTTATTTATTTATTTGAGAGAGAGAGAGAGAGAGAGAGAGAGAGCATGAGCTCACAAGCAGGGGGGCAGGCAGAGGGAGAGGGAGAAGCAGACTCCCCCCTGAGCAGGGAGCCCGATGCTTGATCCCAGGACCCAGGGATCATGACCTGAGCCAAAGGCAGATGCTTAACTGACGGAGCCACCCAGGTGCCCCTGCAAGTTCATGCTGAAGTCGTGCCACGGCCCACAGCCACGGGGTCAAGGTGCTTAAGATTTGGGAGACGGGCAACTCATAATCTGTGCATCTGTCGTGAGGTTTTTTTCTTTTGTTATAGTGTTTGATTTGCTTTGCTTTTGAAAAAGTTATTCACTGGAACAGTCTGTGATCATCCGTGGGAGAGAGAGCTCTTCAGCGGGTTCAGAATGGCAGCCCTTAGGGCAACCTCTGTGGTTTAGGGGGCTGCTGCTGGCCAGACGGTGGGTGGTGGAACAGGAAAAACTGGTCTGGGTGGGCCTGCCCCCCCCCCCACTCTGTGCGTGGGGACAAGATCCTAGCCCGTGAGCAGTAAGGGAGGGGGCACCTGTGAAAGTGCTTGCTGAGCATTGATTCAATGGTCATGAGAGCTGATACTTGGCAGGACATGCCATGCTTGGGCATTGTGCTGAGTGTTTCACACAGCATTTTAGTTGATGGGTGGGGCGAAGGCTGTTACTGACCCCTTTGGAAGCAGGGCCCCTGAAGAGGTTCACTCATGATGGCCTACCACATGCCAGGTACCGGGGGCACAGTGCTTGGGTTCCAAAGGAGCTGATGTCCTAGGAAGGGGACACTGTGAATAAACACATATTCCACCATCGCACGGGATGAGGTTGGGGGGCGGTGAAGCTGGGAAGGGGGGGAGCAGCTGCTCAGGGCAGGGGTGACCTCTGAGCAGAAACCTGCCTCCACGTGGGAGGGAGCCCTCAGGTATCTGGAGAAGAGGAAGCGACAAGTGCAAAATTCTGGGTGATTTCAAGGAAAGGCCGTTGGCTGGAATCAGATGGAGCTAGAAGGGAGGGCGGCAGGTCAGAGAAGGGGCTGGGGTAACAGTACTGACCTTGTAGGCTGTGGGGAGCGCGGGGGGGGTTCTGAGGGGAGAGCCGTGGAATGAGTGGCCTGATCTGACTCAGGTCCAGGCTGCCGTGGGCTGATGAGAGCAGACAAGGGGTGAGGGTGGGGCTGGAGGCTGTCACAGTGCTGGAGGCCCAATGGTGGCTTGGACCAGAGTGGCACCAGCGGAAGTAGAAGAAGTGGTCAGATTCTGGGCACAGTTTGAAAGCCGGAAGAGTCAACAGGATTTACCATAGTTTGGTGGGGAAGTGTTGGAGAGAGGAGGCATGGCCAGCTCCAAATGGGACCTCAGTGACTTATAAGAAACATGGATTTGGGGCGTCTGGGTGGCTCAGTCGTTAAGCGTCTGCCTTCGGCTCAGGTCCTGATCCCAGGGTCCTGGGATGGAGCCCCGCATCGGGCTCCCTGCTCGGCGGGAAGCCTGCTTCTCCCTCTCCCACTCCCCCTGCTTGTGTTCCCTCTCTGGCTGTGTCTCTCTCTGTCAAATAAATAAATAAAATCTTGAAAAATAAAAAAAAGTATGGGGTTTGGAGAACTTCTGGGTTGGTGGACACATGGAGACGTGGAGAGGGCGTGCCCAGAGCATGGGCACTCACACCCCTTCCCCGTCCCTCACCCTGTTCATCTTTTCAACTGGGTGATGATTCCTAGCCTTTAAGATCCTTTGTCATAAGCTGGTAGTCAAGCAAATAAGCAGGTTCCCTGAGTTCTGTGAGTTGGGCAGATAGAGTCAGAATTGAATTGAATTGTGGGACACCCAGCTGGTGTCAGAGAATTGGCTGGGTGTGTGACAAAATCCACACGTCAAAATTGGGTGCAGAATTGTAGAGGGTGTGGCCACGTGGGACAACGTAGGGGCTGAGGGAACAGAGCTCCGTTCTGCGAGCATCTGGGAGATTCCGGGTGGAGACCTTGCCAGTCTGGAATTGAGGGGAGCGCAATGGCTGGGGTTGGTGATGATGTGTGAGGCCATGGAGAGTGGCCCAGGCTGAGTCTGGCCTTGGACCAGCACCTTCTGATTGCTCCAGGGCCCACTGTCTGCTTCCCCGGGGCTGTAGCTCTTTGAAGAAGCTACAATGTTGGCTGGAGGGGCCTGCCGCCCTGTCAGAGCCAACATGTGGGTGTGTGCTACCCCCTCCCCATCAGCACCCGGGCCCCGCCTCTCTCTTCTTCCTTCCCCCTCTGTCCCCGAAGCCGGTTTTGATCCCCTCCATTCTGTTAGAATCCTAGAGCTTCAGAGAGCTTTGTTGCCTTCTGCTGCCCTCTTGTCGGATCTTTGGGGAAACTGGTGACCCTCACAGTTTCTTGTAACCCTGTTCTCCTTGGGCCTCACCCTGGTCTTCTGGCTTGGTTTGCTGCTCCTTGTGAACAGCTTTTCCTCATTCATTCGTTCACTCACTCATTCATTCATTCAACAAAGGTTCATCGAGGGCGCCTGGGTGATGCTGTCGGTTAAGCGTCTGACTCTCTCTCTCTCTCTTTTTTTAAGATTGTATTTATTTATTTGAGAGACAGGGTAAGTGAGAGAGGGAACACATGAGCAGGGGCAGAGGGAGAGGGAGAAGCAGGTTCCCTGCTGATGCGGGGCTCGAAATCCCAGGACTCTGAGATCATGACCCAAGCCAAAGGCAGCCGCTTAACCAACCGAGCCACCCAGGCACCCCTAAGCGTCCGACTCTTGAT